ACAGCTGTACAATAACGGAGGGGTTCATGGTGCGGGGCAGAAAGCTCATCAAAAGAGACTATCCAAACAATTGAGTTCTATAATTAACACACAAAAATCTGTTCAGAAATGGTAATAACAGTAAAAGAGAGCTGAGAAGATGCTGCCTACTTACGTGGCAGATGTGGTTTTGTTACAATCCGAGAGAGAAAATCCATCCTCTTAAAGAATAACAACAACATTAGAGGGGAAAAATAAAAGTAACTTTTGATTCCTAGGGGTGCAGTTAAAACATGAGCTTAAAATATTTCCGGACAGGGAAGAGCTGTAGAAAAAGTAACCAGTGATGAAAGATATGAAATATGCTATCAAAGTATTTTTTCAAGTCTTTAAACACAAATTTCTTTTCTCACTAAAATTTATAAGCCTGACACTGAAATATCCTCTCTTAAATTATTTGCTTTGTCCTTCATTTCACCAAGAATATTATTTTAGGGGTTTTCATTAAAGTTGGCTACAATCATTGACTTAAAAAAAGTTTCCCTTCTTCTGTTGTGTGTGGAGGGAGATTTGATTCCAAATTGCATCTCAAGGAATTCTGAAATTTTCATGACTATGTAGCTGATACACTTTTCTGCTTCAAAAAATGGAAGGTATTAAACGCATCGTTTCTGAAATTTCAGCTAACCCACAGGTTTTTTGCGGTATTATTCACTTGCCTGTGATAATTAATGTTCTTAGTGGTGCGCTGGTCCCTTTTGGGAAGGAGGGGTCCAGCGGGAGCGTGGTTTGTGTTCGGAGCCTGTTTTCCTTGCAGAACTCATCTGGAGGTTGCAGCCTTCAGCATAGTGATCTATAGGGTGGTGGCTCCGCAGTCCAGCGTTCCCGTGCCCCTTCAGCAGAGGCCGAGGCAGCAGGTGGAAACCGTTTCTTCTGGCGCGGGTCCGCGGTTGCTGCAGGAGCTCCTGCCCGGCGGCTCTCGGCTCAGGGCTGGCTCGCTTGGACCTTCCCCGTCCCGTCTTCTGCTCGCAGCTCAGCCAGCTCCACCTGGCTCCGGGGCCTCTCCGCTCCCCGGTTCAGAGTCCCGCTTGGCCTTCTTGTGGGTGAAGAGCAGAGCGCTGCCTCCGTGGCGCTGCCAAAGCCTCGAACTGCAGCTCCCCGAGACTTTTTTTAAGATACGCACTGCATTTTTAATGATTTAGGAACTTGTCAACAAAGAGATTGGGACAGTTTCTTTATCCAAGCCTTTGCAAGACATTGCGCTCTTCTTATTTCATTTTTTTAAAAAAAGAACAACTATTAAGCATGTCAAGCCTTTTCCAAGCTATGATGGAAAGATTCATTGCCATTTCAACAAGGACAAAGGAACAATTTAAGAGCAAGCACTGAGGGATTTTTTTTAACAATTTTAAATTTGCAAAAGTAATTTTGTTAAAGATTCCCCTCCCAAATCAGAAAAAAGCATAGCTTATTTAAAAACAGTTAAAAATGATTTAATACATATATTGTTGTAGCTGTGACTAAAAAGAATGTGACTAGAACCCCGTCCACTATAAATTGAGTTTTTAAATTCTGAAATTGCTGGCTGAAATTTTCTGATAGAAGATTCAGCATTTGGAGAGACCAAGCAAGCAGACTTCCCAGCCCACACATGTATTCTGTGGAAAAATTTTTTTTTTTTTTTTTTTTTTTTTTTTTTTTTGGAGAAAGCCATAAGAGTCTGAAAATCAGGTTTTAATGAGAAAATGGAGTTTGAAAAACAGCTTGAGAAAATTTACATCCAGACTTGACTGAAGTTCCACAATTCTTCGGAGCAGTTTTTGCAGTTTTTAACGTGTATCACTCTGGTAAACTTTAAAAAAAAAAAAAAAGAAAAGAAAAAGGGATATAATGATGACCAGCAATGTTTGACAAATCCTGTCTCACTTTAAGAGAAATATAAATTAAAAAGATTTTAACATAGGAACTCAAAGTTATCAACATAATTGTTTCAAGCTGATGTCCATTTAAAATTGATGTGATTGGTTCTGAGAAAAAAAAGAGCTTTTTCATAATGAAAATATTTTTGATCCAGTGCAGATGATTGTAACCTCGTTATGTTTGTGGGTGATCTACTTGCGAGAAAAGATTTTTCTCTTTAAAAAAAACCGCAAAAAACAAACCAAAACTATCAGAAAGAACTAATTAAGGCAAAGCTAAGGAATTGAATTCAAAGTTTGCATTGCACATGTGAACTAATCTTTTTACAATGGTACCTTTCGAAAGCTGTGTAAGAACGCCATTCATGCCGGGTCTCACTGAGCAAATCCTAGAAAAGCAGCCGCATGAAGATTTGTCATGAGCAAGCAATAAAGACTTTCAGGGAACAGGTTTTGTACAGGCTTCTTGTTTGCCTACTAAATCATTAACCTTCAAAAAAAGCCCATCCGTAGCCTTAACAGGCGCTGGTTGTAATAGGTGTGTCAGCAGTACTTCATGCTAGGAACAGCTTTTACAGGATTAGATTCGAGTTTTTAAGTGACAGTACCATGGAGCTCTTAGGGGCAAAGAACTAGCGGTTTAATGCAGCGCATTCTCTAACGTCCTTTTATGCCACGTGCTGAAACGCGGTGACTCTCTGAGCACGCTAAAATGAAGAAAACTAACTGTTCAGGAGTAGGTGAGTTTTGAAGCAAAATGGCTGTGTGTGCTTTAGGAGCAGCCACTGCGTTTGGAGAGCTTTCTTCAGGTCTTGAAATATTGATGATCTTGGCTTAATATAGTAGAAAACAAAATACGGGGCGGGGGGGGGGATCCTTGAATTGCAGACTGTTGACCTTGCAGTACCCACTCTGTCCATCTATTCCCTTTTAAACCACTGAGTCTGAAAAGACAGCGAGGAGGAAGAATGGTCACAAAAATCTTTACCTGTGACATTTTCCTGCCTTTCCAACAGCAAGTTACAGCCCGAGCAGGATCTTCAGCCGTGTGCTAGATCGTTTATCTTTTAAGTATTTTAATACTAGGGAGATGCAAAAGACAGCTCTTCATTTAATAATTTCTGTGAACTATGATGTTCATATTAACCGTAATGTTAGAGTTTACATGTTTTATTTTAACAACCTTGAATAATAGAGAGGATTCTGTGGGTAAGAGCAGCCACCCTGGTCTCCTCTTGTATTCTGTTTTTCCATGCCTTATCTTTACATATGGCAGCAAGATTCCTCCTGTCAGTGTCTGTCCTGGTCATACGCAGGCTCGGGCGTATTTCTGATCTGAGCTGTGACAGTGAAAACCGGGGATAGTATCTCAGATCAGAATCTGCCACTTGACTGCTGCTGTTGTTAAACCAGGCACAAGAGGACACGTAGCGATAGTACAACTCACTCACCAGATATTGCAAATCACATCAAAAAATGAAAGGTAATTTTCCATGTGTTTTGTGGTGTGGGTTTTTTTTGTTTTTTTTTTTTCCCTGGGCAATTCACATCACAAGCAGAATAAGCTGTTTTACACGAGTTGCCTTGTGTACTGCGACCGCCTGGCTGCTGGGTCGTCCCCAGGGGGTTTGTATTTGTGCTCGGGGACTAATCATCTCTGATGTGGGGAGGCTGGGTTTGACCCCCGTGGTTCTTCCTGCCAAAGCTGTGGTTTCCGATTTTAATCGAAACCCCAAGGCCGTTGGAAGCATGGCCAAAAAGCACCTTGCAAGTTGAACCTTATCTAACAACGTGATGCGTGTAAACTCTGGAAGCATAAATCTTAGTCACTTGAGCAGGGTGTTTTTATAAGGTCCTCTGGTCCAGTGACAGCCACAGCGAGCGAAAGCGGACTGATCTCCCGCCGCTCCTACAGATGGTGCACGGCGTGTCGTAAAGTTAGGACTCGTTAAGGAAATTCCATAAATGGCTTTGGTTAATAAGAATGAAGTAACTTGCTGTTTTATAAATGTGTTACTAAAATCCCTCTCCGTTTCCCATTGGAGGGCTTCGTGAGAGAAGGAGGGAAAGAACGAGGGGGACTAAGGGAAGGGTAAAACAGACAGAGCCAGCCCCGGCTGTGCGGAGGGCTGGACCCCGTGTTCTGGAGCCGGCGCATAGCAGGGGAACCCTAAAGGTAGCGTAGGTGTTAAGTGACGAGATGTGAGAGTGAGTCGCGTGGTAAATACTGGGAACAACCTTTCCTTTTTACACGTTTGCCTGCCTGGGTATTTTCTCTGTTCTCTGTAGCGCTGAAAGCCAGTGGTGCTGGTGGGCTTTTATCTCTAGCCAAGGTAGAAATTTCTAGGATGACATACTTGTTAGCCACTATTAAAATGTGTTATGAACGATGCCAATGAGTTTTTTCCAAGTGATGTAAAAGTAGCCATTGCATTTATGAAGATGATGGCACCGAAAGCTTGCCAACTGCACGTGGGACCTGGTGGCAGTGGTGCAGTTACTGCTACGCCCTGGCTTCGAGGAGGGGAGAGCATAGCTGATTTCCTCCCTGGGGGAGAAAGAGCCAAACGAATTCTGCCTTGCCAGGCGGGAGACGTGCCATTTCCAGGCATGTTAGGCTGAGGACCTCGCTGCCAATCCCAGTGGGTTCCTGTCCCACTCCCTCTTAAAAATTGGCAGAGTCTGACTGTCAGCTGCCATTCCTTAAGTGGTCATAGAATAAACCAATTGCACCCCTTTTGTCGTGCTCTGTGTGTGTGAATGCAGGTGGACATGGGTTAAGCAACATGCAACTCCACAGTAAGCACAAAGAGGCAGCTGATTTCCTGGCAGTGTCAATAGAAGAGTATAATTTTTTTTTTTTACCATCTCCAAGCCAGCTTTTAAAATGGCTCTTGTTGGAATTAGAAATCAGTATCCCCTGACATAGGATTACTTACTCATTAAGAGTGTGATGATTGTTAATTCTTCACCTGGGGCTAAGAGGACATCATTATTAGATCTCTTTGAAATGTCTCCTGCCTTGATTTTGAATAAGTAAGCCAGCAATTTATGATCGCAGCCTGGGCAAGTAACACTCTCCCTTCCTGTTCCTCCATCTAGCTTGCAAAATCGGATACTACAAGGCTCTCTCGACAGATGTTGCTTGTGCCAAATGCCCGCCTCACAGCTACTCCATCTGGGAAGGCTCTACCTCCTGCACCTGCGATCGGGGCTTTTTCCGAGCTGAAAATGATGCTGCCTCCATGCCCTGCACTCGTAAGTTGGTCTTTGAACCGTCTCTTCCCTTTCATCATCCATTTCTTCTCCTGTCTTTCTTTCACTCTGTAAGTAGAAAATATTGCCTGGAGATCCGCGTCTCGAAGAAGTGTCCTGCTTCTGAGAGCAGCATTCAGTAGCTCTTACAGCCCTTTGCAGATGCAGTCTGCATTTTGGATCATGCTTCTGGGAGAGGAAGCGTTAGTTCTCAGCCCTGAATTCCTAACAGTGACATGGTTGCACTGACCCTTAGAGCTTACAGTCTAAATAAATCAGGAGACGACAAAGCCACAGAAGAGGAGTGACTCGCACACCTCAATAACAGAGTTGGAAATAAAATACAGGTCTAAGTTCCAGTCTGAGGACCTGTCTCCAGTAGATCGCATCACCTTTCATCTCTTTAAATATTGATATGTGTAGAGATTGTGAAGGCTTTTCTCAAAATTGTATGAGCTAGGGTAAATAGGTAATATTCATAATCTCATTATATATCTAATTTGCTCAAAATATAGCTGGTGACCCTTAGGAACATACAAATGTTCCTCTGAAAGGGGTGGTAATAATAAATCTTAAACCTTAATGAAACAAACACCCAAAGTATGGTTTATTTTATCCTTTGTAGATAAATACATCATGTACAGCAAATAGAATTTGCTTTAGTTCCACCAAAATGCCTTCAGCAGGGAGAACAAGAGGCGTAGTGCACTGAGCACAACCATGGGAAACAACTCCTTGTCCTACGTGTTGGTTAACGGCTCACGCGGCCGAAGACCTGGGATTCCAGGCATGCCCTGGTGTTAAATTGTGATCATCTAGTTCTTCGGTTTTCACTTCTATAGGAGCAGAGAAGTTTGAAACAGTAAGTGAAAGGGCTGTATTTTACCAGGGGATATCCATGTGTGGCTTTCCCTGAAAGCTGTTGGAAATGCTTCCAGATTTTTGGAGTTCAGCTGTATATTTATGTAGAGAGTGTGTGTGTGTCTGTGAGTGAGGGAAGGCTAAGATATTTCTTTTGTAACATTTTAATATATTCCAAATTCATTTTGGAGAGATGACTCACATTTATTTAAATCTTAATTTCTCCCTTACAAGGCAGAAACAAAGTATGTCCATAACTAAGCCAGCATTCATCCCTTCCCCACACCCCCTTGATTCCAGCTCTTCTTCAGTGATCTCCTCCTTTTCAGCTGTGAGTTTTGCTGGGTGGTGGTTAAGCAGGTCTGGGCATAACCAGGAGCAGCTGCTTTCGCTTAGTAGGAAAGCAGAGAGGTCTGTATATCCCTTGCCAAATGTTGACTGGGGATGGAGGTCTAACTGTATTGTGAAACCTTGCTGAAGTGGGTAGGAACATGCTTTTTATAATATAATTTACACTAGGAGATATAAAGCTTGACCATTTTGAAAGGAAAAATGTCTTTTTGCAACAATAAAACTATTGTTTGGAAGGTACACCCTAAATAACATTATACCAGCAAAATTTTCTTCTGGTCCTAGTGAGTGATATCCTGACCAAATTGAAATCAAATTAGTAATCAACTGGTTGAATTTAAATACGCATGTGCAGTGAGGGAAGTATGAGGAGACAGCAAAACACTTCCAGATGGGGGAATTGTGAGCAAATGATATGTATGTTTGCTTGTATTGCAAAATGTACCCCTGCAAGCTTAGCCCTTTTTTGTCAAGTCTTGGACCTACTTCTGGCACCCTTCCCCGTTCCTGTCTTTGGAGGTCAGTCAAAGTTGAAGTCCCTGATCTTGGTCTTTTATCCTGAAGATACGAGGAGGGAAGAAGAGAAGGCAAGGGCCATGGTGCTGGCCTCAGTCTTCATCTCTGCAGCAGTCTAGGAGGAGTCGGCATGCAGAGGCAAGCCAACACCACAATCCCACGGACACCTGGTCTTGGAAAATAGGCCTGTCTCTGGAGGTCCCATTTCATAGCTTTGAATTTTCCCGTAGCTTAAGGGCTTCTTTTTCTGTGATCCGAGGTGAAGGAAGACACCTTCCTTCTGAGCTGGCTTGTGGGGCAGCTTTGCCTCCCCACCCGCTGCTGTGCTCGCTAATATCCCCTCTTTGAGGTCTGCCTTAGCAGTGGTTGAACATTGCTGCGATGGTGATACCTGCACAGGCACAAAATGCAGCCCTGTGTGCGTGGTGCACCTCTGCGTTGCGCAAGGCGTGGGGTGCAAGGGGCTCCTTGGGCGGCCGTTCGTTTGCCATGCTCCCTGGGCCGAGTTGCCTTCTGCCCACGCGCTTGAGGCAAGTGACAGAAAACATTTCAAGGGCTTCTGCTGAAGGAAGCCCCTCTGGAAGAAGCTCCCCGTTTGTCTGCCTTTCCTGACAAGATGTGGAGACAGAAGGGAGCGTAAACATCAAAGGTTCCTTCAGACGGATTCAGACTCTAATCAGTTCTTACCAGTTGGTTAAACCAGGTGACAAACCCAATTCCCTTGTGCTGACAGCCATAATAATCAGGCACCTTCTTTGTTCATTATGCTCTCTTTAACCCCGGTATTCTCATTCAGCCCTGCATTTAGTAATCACTCAGTGTGACGGCACACTAATGAAGAAATAAAACACAGTATCTGAGATCCATTCTTCTAGCAAAAAGATAGACTCTGCTCCACTGGCTTGTAAAATCAGGTTTCTGTTCACTTGGAGAACTATTAGACCAGCTGAATAAAAGTAACATTCGGTGATTTGGAGAGAACACCTGGAATGGACTGTGGATTGATCCTTTCTTTATTATTTCTAAACACTTTTTAAGATGAATAACTTCAGCGTTCTTAGGATGTGTTTTTGTAAAGCTTTGACCCTTGGCTATTGATTTCCTTTAGTAATAAACTGGCTGGCCTCGTCACTTATCTCGCCTTCTGGGTTGGGAGAGGAAGACTGTTATGACTTTCCATTAGCCTGATTGTGCTAGTGGATGAAAGGGAATTGGAGAATTCCCCTTCCTTTTCCTTTCTCGCAATTCCCATGGTAAGTAATAAAAGCGACACCTCCTTCCTGATGCGCTGGTCAGCAGAGGTGCTCCAGAGTTTTCTCATTCCATAACGCCACTCTCTGACGTCTCCATCTGTTGTTGAGTTGTAAAACCTGTGCCTACCCTTCAGGTAAGCCAGGCATCCAATCTAAACAGATAACTCAAAACTCTAGTTTTAGTATTCTGCTCTACTTTAGCTCTGCTAGAGTGAGTAGTTATGTCTGGCTTAAATCTCGTACAAGTAAGAGCAGAACATGGAGGGACGTGAGCACAGGAGACGGTGGAGTGGGCTGTCTCGGAAGGCCAGGCGTAGACACCCTGACATACATGTGTTTACTGATGCATCTTTTCCCTCAAGCTTGCCTCATGGGGGTAATCATCAACGTGTCTGTCACCACTGAGGAGCAGAGCCGCCCTGGATCTGCCGCTTTGACCTGACTCAGGAGTTTAGACTTTCAACTCCGAAGCGCAGTGGGCTTGTCAACTGTGTGCTTGGGCATGGAGATGGTATGATTGACCTGTAGTACACTTGAGCGCAAACTGTGGAAAACACGGACGCCTTTCCCTTTTGGAAGCGTCGCAAAAATAATGTTAAGGCAACTATTCAGAGCTTCATTATATTTCAGTACTTGCTGAGAGGATGGGTCTTTCATAAGGTTAGCAATCTAATGGAGCATAAATTGCCTTAGCAACACACAAATCCATGAGGCTGGAAAACAATCAGTCTCGATCATGGTCCTCATCCCTGAATTTCCTTCTCCGTAAGGAGGTACTTTGTGAATTGCAGCCTGGCGCAGGCAGGTGCAGTTCCCACCCAAGTTAATGGGCATTGGTCCTGCGTCCCCACCGGTAATGAGTCGGGTCCTCTAACTGTTTCTTAACAAACAATGCTCACATTATGAGTGAATACGGAACGGTTTTGTATTGTTTATGTTGTCTGTTCGATTCAGATTATTAATGATTTTTAATTGGGAGCCCTTTACAAAAGAGAGATTACCAGCATGGACTGTCCAGCTTGAAATCTGTCTCCGTAAATGACCCTGAATAATTTAGTCCGTTGTGCCACCCAAACAGCGACTGATTGATTGATATTTTGGTGTGGCCTGAAATATTTCTAAAACGGTTGCATTTAAGACAGTTTATACCAGAGAAGCTTAGAGATAATGAGAGCAAATTTAGTGAGATGCAAGAGAAAAGTGCCTGCTTTAAAAGGGCTTTCTCCAGTTTAGGTTATCAAGAAATCGAAGAGCCTGACTTCAAACAGCAAACGTCGCTTACTTGTCTTTACATTCGCCTCTTCTAATTGAATTTAGTGCACTGCTGTATTTCCTCCAGAAAGTATATTGTTTTTAAATTACCATTTCAGTGCTATTACTCAAGGCTCCTGCGTCTAATGCTTTCTGACAGTTATCAGCATAATGAACCATAATGAAATGATGAGCAATCTACAGTGGAAACTCAATGTGGATTCCACTAGAGCTGTGTGACTGTGTTGTTAAAATTTGAATGCACATTAAAATAACACTGTCCTTATTTGTTTCCAAGGTCAAGGCTTTAAAAAAGGTCTGAAAGGTCTAAACACTTCAATTTTGTAAATGTTACAGTCTAATATACACCCTTAGCGCAATCTTGTGTTGCAGTTAATATATCTCAGAGATAAATATTTGACCTGCATTTTCAAAAAAGAGGGAATTTACCTACCTAATAACTGTGCTTCCAAATGAGTAATTACACAGGAGCTGATTATTTGAGGATATGTTTATTATGATTGCTTAGACTTCTAAATAAACAAATGTGCTCCTTTTCCTTCAACTTAACTTGTGCCTCTTCTAAATTTCCAGACAGACGCCGATTATCACTGTTCTAGCTTTTAGAAGAATAATAAAGTAGGGTACAACGTGCGGCCCTGCTGGCTGGTATGTTGTAGGTAGCTTTGCATTGGCTTTGCCATGCTTCCTTCCCAGCGTTTGCATACTTGTTCTGGCACTACTTCAGTCTAACCTCTGCTGTTGGAGCCC